CGTAAAGGCATTTATTTTCAATAAAAATTAAGGAAATAATCAAAAAGTTGAAAATAAAGTATGGGGTAGGGTTAGGGTAGGTGTAGGGAGGGCTTTATTGTACCAATAAGGTGGCATCCATTTAATAATTAAAATTTTAATGATAATTTGCACTCCATACGTCATTATTGCATACTGTTTTATAATGTACTACAATACTGAAGTGCAGATAATTGCCACTACTTGCAACAAGTAGTATACTTGATAGTAGAAATCCTGCTATTTTAACAGTGTAAATAGGTATTTGCACTTAGTGTAAATAGCATATTGCTAAAAATACTGCTATTTTCACTTAGTGTAAATAGAATCCATTGCTAATACGAGATTTGAAAAGGGAGGGAAAAAAAGTTCGGTAAAAGACGGGATTGAACCCAGGTCGATCGCGTCAAAAAGCCAAGGACACACGCTTATCTATCGGCGCCGCTGGAGCGGATGATTTACAACCACTTTTTAACTAAATGTAAATAGACACGCCGTATTTTTTATTCTATAGTAAGGGCAATTCATACAATACATTTAAACTGAGCTACTTTAATACCATCTCCGAACTTTCTATCACGACTCTGCTGTTCTTCGGCTGGTTCTTCTCTGTATACGTTGATTGACAGATGTCTCGTCCAGTCAGCGGGGAGTAATCCCAAACCAATGGCGCTGTCTCAAACTATACCTACCTCTTCCGGTTTGTCTGATTTGTCATTGTGTTTTCTGACTTGTTATAATGTTTTCTGAATTGTTATTTTGTTTTTTTAGACTTGCATTTGCGTTTGTAATTTGTTATTTTGTTTTCAGAATTGTGATTTGTTTTGCACTTCTCGGCCCCCGTATAATTATCTCTAAAAACACACAAACCAATAAATAAACATGTTTACCAATACCAGCAAAATTCGTTCTGATGAGCAACTGAAATCAATTCTGGAAGTTTCATGTTTAAAGGAATAGCTGCTGCAGTCTGGAACGTGATCTCAGAGATATTTAAGGAAACTGGCGGAGCTGCAACTGTTATTAGGTCACTCAGGATGATTTAAACTGACTTGAGTTAAAGCAGCTTTTATTTAAGAGTTTAAAATACATCCACCGCTGATTACTGCTAATATGCTTTGAGCTATCGATAGATTCAAACACAATCAAAGCGCTTCAGAGAAGTGACCTGTTGAATGACTGAACAATAACTTGCTCTTACCGCCGTCGATCCTGAGGAGGATGCCAGGAAGACTTTAATGACCATTTTGTGGAAATGCAAAATAAATGATATGGGGAAAAGTGTTTAAAGAAGACACTGGAAAGCACACGGCGCTGTAGCCTCGACTCGAGCCTCTCGGTGTCTATTTCTGTCCCCAGCGCCTCAGCATGTTGCCGGATTGGTGCGTTTGTCCCACTGCTGTCTGAGTGATTGGCAATTTCAGCTGTCTGTCCACATCAGGAGCTGCTAAAGTTAGTGCAACGACTTGCATATATGGACAGAGATGCTGTTTTTTAAGAAACGTGTCATTTGTAAACGTGTAAACAAAAACAAACAAAACACTTTTTTTTAACTAGGCTACTATTTAAAAACCTCTAGTTAATGCTAATCATCAGTATTGCTTTTATTATTACATTATATGATCCTCATCTTGTGATAAAAAGGAAAAATTCTCCACATTCTAAATTTCTCCAAATTCAAAACACATTCCAGATAATAAATATATGTGAACTGTAGTAGATATCTTGAATAGGGTTGCAAAGGGGTGGAACATTTCCGGAAACTTGGAAAGTTCCCACACTCTCGGGGTTGTTGTCAAGGGAAACCGCAGAGAATGTTGTCCTGGGCTCTGTGTTAAGGGGGGAGCCACTGAGGTCTTCTAAAGTAAGTTACTGACTTTAGGTGTAAAGTATTGGAGTAAATGTACTTAGTTAATGTACTTGAGTATCTATTCGGATACTTTGTAGTTGTACTGAGTATCAAAGATATTAGCAACTTTTACTCTCTACTTCACTACATTTTTGAATGAGTATCTGTACTCTTTACTCCACTACATTTGAAACGAGTGTTGCAGTTACACACTACATTTTGCATGGACCTAACTTTTTCTACAGCAGTTTATTTCTGCTACAAAAGACGTGATACTGCCTACTACAGGGCACCAAAAGTACTGCATCTTGTGCATTTTGCCCTTACTCACCCAGACTTTTCAACAAGGCTACTTTATGTGAATGCGAGTTCCTTAGCAAGTATTTGTGAATCACAGGTGTTTTACATATGAGATGAGGACATGACTGCAGCCAGCAATGAGGCCCAAACCAGCACAGCCAGTGCAAGAAGACTTCAGCTTTTTAATTTTACTTAACATTATTTTATTTATCCATTATACTGGAGACCTTTTTGAAATATATTGTTTTTGTTTGTTTGTTTTGTAATTTTGAGGTGTTCAGTATTATTTCGGTTTTAGAAAACTCTCTCACAAATCAACTCTTTCTTGTTTTTGTTTTATGCTCTCTGTGCCTTGCCCTGGACTTTTATGTCACTTCCTGTCTCCTGTGGCGTTTGTAGTCAGTTTGTAGTCATTGGTTCCCCTTGATTAGTCTCCTGAGGTGTGTCTTATCTTGTTAAGCTTGTTAGCCCCCTGTATGTATATATAGCCCTAGTTTTTCTTTAATTCCTTGTGAGCTGTTGAATGTAATGGTTGTCTCTTTGCCAGTCATTCTGTTCTCTTTGGTTTGTTCTAGTTTTTCCATGAAATACCAGCACATAGATCTTTGCCTCTGCCTGTTTTCCGCAACTTCTCCACAACGTTACAGTTTTTGACTAGTATGTCTCTTTGACTAGTGCATCTTTGAGCCTATATTTAGTATAAGTAAAATACTTAAGCACTGTTCAAATCAAATTCTCTAGACTTTTACTCGTTGTTTTGGAATTGGTGACTTGTAACGTGTAGTGGAGTAATTTTCACTGTAAGGTATCTGTACTTTTACTAAAGTATGGTTTTTAGGTACTCTTTACACCTCTGGTTACTGACTGGGCCTAGGAAGAGATAGCATAGCCTACCCATCAAAATTTGCTCCTGGGCTCTGTAACAGGACATCATAGAGGCTTGGGGGATGGGTGTTTTTGACTCTGGGCAATAAGAAACCAAATAAATAAATAAATAAAAATAATAATTCAATAAAAAACAGAGTGCCTATACACTAACTCCACCAACGGGTGGTTTGGCTCATAGACATAACAAATAGGCTTCTTATTATGTTATTTATTATGGTATGTTAGGTAGGCTATTTATTATGTCTATGGTTTGGCCTAGCCTAGCCTAGCCTAGCCTAGCCTAGCCTAGCCTAGTCTTGATTTGTCTGTTTCCTCATCTTCTGATCATTGCCTGTGTACTTTGGATTATCTCTCTCGTTTTGCCCGGTTGAGATACTGTTTGCCCCTGCCTGGACCTTGCTTTGTACCTGGATTTATCCCTCTAGTCTCGCCCTGTTGATTCTGTTTGCCGATCGTTGACCCACACTAGCCCTAGGATTATTCTTGTGTCTTGCCCTCTATATATACCTGTTGCCATTGTCTGACCTTTGCCTGTCTCTAACCATGTCTGTTAATAAAGCTTCGCACTTGGATCCACGCGTCTCGTCAGCCCCGTAACACCAGGAAACACCCAAAACATCTTAGTAATCGTTAAGCAAATATCTGATGGGTAATTTAAAAAAAAGGAAGAAAGAAAAGGAAAATACTGTTAAGTGTAGGCTACAGATTTGGAAGTGAAGTCTTCTAGATTATTTGAATTTTCTGTTTCAGAGAAAATTGTCACGGTATAGAATTAATATGAGTTGTGAATGTAAGTTCATGTTGACAGCTGACCTGACAGGAGATGAACTCAACAGCAGAGATTTATTTACAGAGATGGTGAGTGAAGAATTGACAACAGGTCAGTACAGTACTGATGCAGCAGTGAATAAAACAATATTGACGGGTGAGTCTTGCAGGGATACACTGGACATGAGGAGAACACTAGAAATACTTGTGATTATTGATGATGACAGAGATGAGGAAATGCAGGAGATAAGGATGCTGGGGAGATAAGGACATCAACAAGAAAACGTAAGACAAGTCATAGTCCAATAGCATATGTACACAAGGGAGCACAGACAATGGGTGTGTGGAGAAACTGCAGGTTTAAACAGCATCACTGCTGAAGTAATCTGTCATTGTAACTGTTAGCAAAACAACACACGCCTGCTCTAAATCTGTCACAGGGATGGTGCTACAGCTTCTTATGTTAGTGTTGAAGGAACTTTGATAAACTACTAAATTGTGAATTAGTTGTGACCTAATTACAAGCTCCTTTTGCAGATGTAGCAAACAACAGACCCAGATGTCCAATTTTCATTATCTACATAAAACAACCATTAATCCACCTGCCGAGTGTGTATGTAATTAAATCAAAGGCTTTGAAGTATTCTCATTTATGCCACAAGGCAGCACTGTATTACAGTGCATTTTTATTGCACAGTACGTATTATTTTACAGTAAATATTATTAATAACATTACTGATAAAATATTCTGGCAATAATTTACAGTGAAGCACATTCTGCAGTGAATTTGGTTTGATGCCATGCTTTTGTTTTTTGTAATTGTTGGCCAGTCAGACCATTGAAGTGTGACAGGACATACGGGGAACTGAAGATAGATAGGACAACGGGATACAGTCATACAACAAGTCAGTCAAGACTCAAACCTGTGTGCCATGATATGCTTATGTGCCAAGAGTCAGTTCTTGGTGATTCATTCAAAAAAAAAATTTTTACAATTACATTTTAAACTAAATACAGTGTAAAGAATATCTACATTTCTGTGATGATTACACATACATTGTGGCAGTAATATGTTATTTACGACATTGAGTGATCATTGACAGGGTAAGTTAGAAAATGTCTGGACTGTTGCTATAAAACACAATCAATTCTGATGCGATTTCAAGTTTTCCTTTCTCTTTGGAGTGTTACAAGCTGTTCGTGAATAGATAAGATCCCTAAAGTTGCAAAGACTAAAGTCTCAAACCCAAAGAGATATTCTTTATCAAAAGTTAAGACTCGTCCACGCCTACCTAAAACACCTCATTTAAACCTCATGTCTACGACACCTCATGTCTACGTCACTGTGTGGGAAGATTTGCATAACACCGCACAAAAAGAAGGCGCAACTGATTCTCGCTGTAGTATTGCTGCCGCCAACATATCGTGGAGATGCTGTTTCGTTGTGAAAGCGAAACTACTTTGTTTGGTCTTCCAAAAGAGGACACGACTAGAAATCACTGGTTAAGTTGTATTTACAATACTGTTCCAGAACAGTTCAACCCAAATATTCAGATGTGTCCAGTGCATTTTATGGAGGACGAGGACTGTTTCCTGGGAGAGTAGCCTACAATGCCGGTATTCTGGTGAATTCAGTTCCCGTTTTCCCTTCGCCGCGCATTCTGACCCAATATAGTCTATGATGCTGACAAATAACGCCGACTCACAGCCTGTAAGTACATTTTCACATTTAAAGAATTTGCCACTGATGATTCAAACGCGAGTTTTGAGCAGTGTAGAGTAGCGCTTGTTGTTTGTCATTTCTCCGATCACAAATGCAGACAATGTTTTATGTTTACGCGGCGCGATGTAACACAAAGCGTAAAAAGACAGAATAAGTCATTATAATCCGTAATTATGTCCCCACTGGATGCAACAAATGCCTCGTTTATAATGTGTTTTATTGTTTTGTCACGCATTACAGTATGGTAAGGGGCGTAACACTTCTGTCACAAGCTTGAGGTATTCGGCCAATCACAACGCACTGGATAGCTGGCCAATCAGAGCACACCTCGCTTTTCAGACCGATGAGCTTTGTAAAAATCGACGCGTTTCAGAAAGGCGGGACATAGAGGAGAAACAATAATGTACAGTATGTGGAAAATAATGTGTTTTTTTAACCTTAAACCACATAAACACATTTCATTACACCAAATACACAAAATAATGTTCTTTTTAGCAACATCATATGACCCCTTTAAAGTTGGACAACGCAACAAGACAGTGACCCAAAGCACAGAAGTAAATCAAATAAGGAAAGGTTGAAAAAATCTGAAAAAATTTGTTTTTCTGTCCTGACCTTATACCGATTGAGATGTCATAACTTTGTGCCGTCATAACGGCCCATAAGTAGTGATAAACTGAAACAGATTTATAGGGAGGGATGGTACAAAATTGGTCCAGAAAACCTTTTTTTGGAGGCTTTGCTGTTAAAGGAGCATCTACAAGTTACTGAATTCAATGCACTTACATTCTCCAGCCTGCACTGTGAATTATTACTCAATATTCAATGAAAATGTAGAAAAAAATTCATTTGTTGGTGTGTTATTAGTTTATTGAGATTAAATTAAATCAGACCAAATTGTACGGGAGGGGGGGGGGACATTTCAAAGGGTTCACAAGCGTATTCTTGTGTTTATTAATGCATGGACATTTTTCTTTGACAAACAAAAATCAATAAATACATTTGTAACACTGACAAAAAATACAATTATGGTACAAGCAATAAATAGAAAAAATCTTCGGTTTTGCTTGAAATTACAACAAACAGTAAAGAAAAGTGTTTCGCAATTTGTTAGGAATGTTTACATGTCAGCATTTACTAACTAAAAGCAAATAAAACCTTTAAATGTATTAAACAAGAAGTTGTAAACAACGAAAGCTAAAATAATTTTACTATAGACTTAAACCACTGAACGGAATGGTGAATGCCATTAAAAAAAAAAAAATAGACCAATCAGTTTGGACCATTCATGAACAAAATGAAGAAAAGCAAGAGAACTGAAACAAAATACAGAATACAGAAAAATTCAGTGACTGCTTGTTCATGTTGATGTAGCACTGTTAGATTAACTGACAGCATGTAGAAGGATGGCCACAACCTTGTTGCAGACAACTAGCCAGCATGTGATTCCAACACCACCTGAGATGAAGCAACAAAAACACTTGAAACGCCTCGTAATTATATTTATACTTTTAATCAATTTATCCCACCATCCAAAAGTGGCCATCGAATACAACTGGTGACATGGACATACCTGCAATTCCAGAAGGAAAGGCTACTAGTCTCTCTAGTGGAGCAATCCATTTACTGGGTACCACTGTGACCGGCTCTGCATAATACTTTAATATGAGCGAGATCATGAGGGCCGCCTAACGACAGACAGCAGAACACAGAACAAAGTGCCATTAGGAGGAGAGAAAATGAACAAATGATACATACAGACAGACACATGAATCATACATCAATCATATCAATACGCAAATTAAAAATGTTCCTCAATCCTCACCCACCTGAAGAATGTAAAATACAATATTTACAATCCATTTCATTTTTGCCTGCTGTGCAGTTCTTGATTTGACTGTAAAAAGAAAAA